TAGCCCCTGAGCCCGATCAGGAGTAGCCTCAAAAACCAACAACCAGGCTGGCATGGTAGTATAGCGGGTAGCGCATTTGCCTTGCACATGGCGGCAAGGGTAGGTTCAATCCCTGGCATCCCATATGGGCTCCCAAGCACCGCCAGAAGTAATTCCCGAGTGCAGATCTAGGAGTAATGTCCTGAGCATTTCCAGATTGACCCAAAAAGCAAAAACAACAAGAACAACAATCTCCCCCTCCCCAATTTTAAAAACTTTCATTAATTACTGCTGGGACCTCTCAAGCTGCACTTGTAGGCCTGAAGTTGCCTCCTTCTGCCTGGGTAGGTGGGCCGGGGCTCAGCCCTAACAGTGCTCCGAGCTGGGTCACACCCCGAGATGCAGCGTAGTGTCCCCAGATTCCTGCTCTGCCAGAGGCTCTGTGTGCATGTCAGTCCCGCCCTTGTGCTATCTTCCACATCTCCACTTTTATTTTGATTTAGTGTTTAGGTGACACCAGGAGGTGCCCATGGGTTGCTCCTGGTTTAGTGCTCTGGGAATTGAACCAGGGTTGACCGCCTACAAACCCTGTACTTTCTCTGCACCTGAAGACACTTTTTTCTTTTGGTATGTGTGCAGGGGCTAACTTCTACCTCTGCACTCAGGAATCACTCCTGGCAGGGCTCAGGGGTCCCTATTTGGTGTCGGGGATGGAACCTGAGTCGCCTGTGTGCCGTGCAAGAGCCCTGCCCACTGTCCTATCGCTTTGTCCCTAAACTGGATTTCCTTTCTTTAAAATTTCCACTTTTTATTTTATTTATCTTTTTATTTCTTTTTTTTTTTCTTTTTGGGTCACACCCAGCGATGCACAGGGGTTACTCCTGGCTCAGCACTCAGGAATTACTCCTGGCGGTGCTCAGGGGACCATATGGGATGCTGGGAATCGAACCGGGGTTAGCTGCGTGCAAGCAAACGCTCTACCCGCTGTGCTATTGCTCCAGCCCCTATTTCTGTTTTTTATTGGGTGACACCTGGTGGTACTCAGGGCTTACTCCTGGCTCTGTGCTCAGGCTCTCTGACACCAAGCTTGGGGGACCCTAGCGGTGCTGGGGATTAACCTGGGGTCAGGCGTGTACAAGGCCAGCATCCCTGCTGTGCTGTTGAAGATGGGATCACTCTATGATCACTCACGCATGTTATGGATCACTCACGCAGGCAGGAGGGAAGCACATGAAGAAGCCTGCGGATGAGGGGCTGGAGCAATAGCACAGCAGATAGGGCATTTGCCTTGCACACGAACGACCCGGGTTCGATTCCCAGCATCTCACATAGTCCTCTGAGCACCGCCAGGATTAATTCCTAGGTGTAGAGCCAGGAGTTGACCCATGTGCATCGCCGGATGTGACCCAAAAAGAAAAAAAAAAAGAAGCCCACAGGAAGGAGTGGAGTGTGTGTTCGGGGAGAGGGGACCAGACCGGGAGCCCCCAACCCTTCCCCCGCTGCCCAGCTCCTGCAGGTAACCGGAGGTAACTCTGGTTCATGGGCAGCCAGTCCTCTCCTCAGTTTGCCCCTCTGTGAAGTGAGTAACAACCACCTTCTTGGGGTCAGAGTAATAGTATAGCAGAAAGTGTGCTTTGCCTTGTACGCAGTCAACCGGAGTTGATCCCATAGAGTCCCCCAGCACCACCAGGAGTGATTTCTAAGTAACCAGGAGTAACCCTTGAGCACTGCTGGGTTTGACCCCAAAACAAAAGCGAACAAATCATAACAACCAAAAGGAGAGAGAGAGTAAAAGGGATGGGTACTCGACCATGTATGACTGAAAGGTAATCACGAAAGAGTGTTAAGTCTGTCATTGTATCTCGTGGTGTTTCATTAAAAAAGAATTTTAAAAAAAGCAAACAAAGAATCACCTTCTTAGGGCCAGAGTCATAGCAAAGGGCTTAAGGCACCAACTTGCCTTGCCCGGAGCTGACCAGAGTTAGGATCCAACCCGGATTCGATTCCTGGCTGTGCGTGGGGTCCCCGGAGCCCGCTGGGAGTGATCCCTGAGCACACGAGCCAGGAGCCAGCCCTGAGCACTGCCAGTGAGACCCACAAAAACAAAGCCCCATCCCAACACCCCAGTTTCAGTGGATTCTTGGAGAGGTGGATAATGGCAGGGGTGGCCAGGGGATTCGAGATCATCATGTTGGGGTCCTGTGTGGAGAGCGCTCCCTCCAGAGTGCACCCTCCATCTTTCAGGAAGAGAAACTGAGGCGTGTGGCCAGTGTGGCTCTGACCTATCTGTGCCCTCTCGCTGTACCCCTGGAGTCCTTCCCTGACCACACCCCCAGGGTATTGGGTTTCTGATGGGGCTTGGGGATAAGTCGGATTGGCTTGGCGTTAGGGCAGGGGGGTACGCTCTGGGGACAAGTATCCTCAGGTCCATTGTGACTCTCCTGATCCCAGCTCGGGGTGTCTCCTGCCTGACACCCTTTCTTCTGGGTTGGGCTCGCGCTCATCTTCCACGGAAATTTAACTCCCTTTTTCATTTCTCTTTTTTTTTTCTTTTTGAGTTACACCCGGCAATGCACAGGGGTTGCTCCTGGCTCTGCATTCAGGAATTACCCCTGACGGTGTTCAGGGGACCATATGGGATGCTGGGAATCGAACCCGGGTCAGCCACGTGCAAGGCAAATGCCCTACTGCTGTGCTATCGCACCAGCCCCTCACTTCTCTTTTACTTATTTATTTAGTTTTGTGGCCACACCTCTCCGAATGCAGCAGTTATGTGTACCTAGGTTGAGAAGTCAACATGACGAATGACCTGGCACCTGAGTTGCGCAGGAGGAGGAGAGAGGCGTGGAACACCTTCAAGAGCGTCGAAGAAATAACTAAGAGGATGAAAAACCTCAGGCTCCGGGCACATCTCTTCGACTTCACTGTTCTTCCTGCATTAACATATGCCTCAGAGACCTGGGCCCTACAAAAACAGGATGAGAACGCTATTCGGGTCTCCCAAAGGGGAATTGAAAGAGCTATTCTTGGAGTGTCACGCTTCACTCAAGTGAGAGAAGGAATTCGGAGTTCCGACCTCCGTCCACGATCGAGAATCAGGGATGCTCTCTTGTTTGCCAAGGCATTGAAAATCATATGGGCTGGACATGTAATGTGGTTTGGAGACAGCCGCTGGACTAGAGCCATTTCCAACTAGATTCCACAGGACGTGTGGCCGTCCACCTACGAGATGGTCAGACTTCTTTGTCAAGATCCTGAATGAACGGTTTGAGGCTCTTCAGGTTGCTGGAGCGAGCAGATGCCATTGGGCTACACTAGCACACAACAGTGACGAATGGAGACGTTACTGGGGCCCGCTCGAGCAAATCGATGAATAACGAGGGGGGGGATGTCAAGTGATTAAGTGATCAAGTGTGGCCACACCCTCCGATATTCAGGGTTTCCTCCCAGCTCTGTGCTCAGGAATAAGTCCTGGCAGTACTCCAGGGACTCTGGGATGGGGGGGGGGACAGACCTCATTCCTCTGTATGCAAGGCAAATGCCCTCCCCACTGTACGATCTTCCCAACCCTCAGGAGTTCCTGGTTTGATATCTGGCAATATATGGTCCTTCGTCCCCCAGGGACCACTGGACACTGGACACTGAGCCAGAGGTAGCCCTGGAGCATTTTGGAGTATCCCCTACATCACATACGGGGGGCACAGCCAGAGGGGGAGTACAGAGGGGAGCACACATGCCTTACACGGGCTGATCTGGGTTAGAACCACGGCACCCCCCAGGGACCCCCAAGCCCTCCTGGAGTGATCCATCAGCACAGAGCCAGGAGTGAGCCCCCGGGGAACAACAGGTGTGTCCCCAAACCAAAACCAAAACCAAACCCGAACAGAAACAACCACACATGAGTGGGGCTGGTCCTGCCAACAGCTAGGAGTGGGGATTGGGTGCTCACACTCAATGTTTTTTTTGTGGGGGGGGGGGTGGAGGGGACAACACCCAGGCTCTGTGCTCAGCGATCTCGCCGTGGAGGGGTGCGTGGTGGGGGACCCTATGGGGTGCTGGGGAGCAAACTTAGTGCCACTGCGTGCAAGGCCGGTTCCTATCACTCGGGGCCCCTTGGAATGCGGTTTATTATACACAGTTTGGGGCGTTGGCGGCCAGTGGCCTGGACGGAGGTGGGGGAGAGGGAAGTTGACTGGGTCTTAGGGAGGCCTGAGTGTGCGCGGGGTGGGGGGGTGGGGAGGGGCTACCGCAGCGCCCCGAGCCGCAGGCCCTGAAGTCCCGCTGCGCCCCGGGTACCCCCAAGTCCCCCGCCCGCCCCGCGGCGGACCGACCGCTTCGGGCGAGCGAGCCCCGCCCCGCCCCTTGGGGCCGCCGCGGTGAGAGCACCCACGTGCGGCGGTTGGCACAGTCACCTCGTTAAACGCAGCCGGGCGATGCCCAGGCTCATCCCATTATTATCCTCAATCACGAATTAATTAGCCCTAAAGCATCCTTTCCGGTCCCCACGGGTGTCCCGAGGGGAGGGCAGGGAGTCGCGGACCCCCGGGACGAGGACCCTCGCCCACACCTCCCTCCAGTCCGCTCCCCGCCCTCTCCTCCCCGCCCCCCATAAGACCGTGTTCAGCAGTGGGGGGTGCCCCCGGGGTGGGGTTCCCCCCACGCCACCCCCGGCAAGAGCCCGCGGGGAATCCCCGCCAAGCCCAGCGGCGGTGCCAGAGGCGCTAGGACCGCGCGGCGCCGTGCGCCCGGGGGTGGGGGGGACGGGGCGGAGCCGGACTCGGCGCTAGGCCTCGCCTCTCGGTGGTGATTGGTGTGCGCCGTGGGCCCCGAGGGGCGGGACGGAGCCGGACTCCGCGCTAGGCCACGCCTCCCGGTGGTGATTGGTGCGCGCGTCGGGCGCGCGGTTCCTATTGGCGAGCGCGGCCGCCGCTCCCCGGGGAGGCCCCGCCCCGCCCCTCCCGGCGGGCCAGGGCCCGGGAGCGAGGGTCGGGGCCGTGGACGGGGCTGTCAGCTGGGCGCCGTCATGGAGCCGGTCGCGCTGTCCCCGTGGGCGCGGCTGAGCTACGCCGTGGGCCACTTCCTCAACGACCTGTGCGCGTCCATGTGGTTCACGTACCTGCTGCTCTACCTGGACTCGGTGCGCGCCTACAGCTCGCGCGGCGCGGGGCTGCTGCTGCTGCTGGGCCAGGTGGCCGACGGGCTGTGCACGACCCTCGTGGGCTTCGAGGCGGACCGCGCCGCCGGCCGCTGCGCTCGCTACGGCCCGCGCAAGGCCTGGCACCTGGTCGGTAAGCGCCCCCCCACCCGCAGCCTGCCCTCCGCCTCCCGGCCTCAGTCTCCCCCAGCCCTGCCCGTGTCCAGCCCTGGGACTCCTCCCTCGCCCTCCTGGACCCGGCTGCCTCCCTCGGATTGCCTTTCCGCGATCCGAGCCTCCCTCTTCTGTCCCCTGGCTCCGGATTTCCCTCTGCCTGCCTGCCTGCCTGTCTGTCTGTCTGTCTGTCCCCTCCCTGGCGCCTCTTGCCCGGCTGTCCGACTTGGCAGTGCCTCCCCCCTCTGACTATGTGACTCTCCCCCCGACCCCCCCCCCCCCCACTTCCCGTGGCCTGATCCCAAGAGGCATCATCCCGGACGCTCTGGGGCTTGGGGGATGTCCCTGCTGGCTGTCTCTGCTGTCAGGCCCGGCTGCCAGTCACCTGCCTGTTTGTCATCTGTCTGGTGGCCATCTCTGCCCCAGCTCTTGGCGGCCTTGGGTACTCCCCCCTCAATCAAGAGTGGGCTGGTGGAAGGCGGGAGAGACAGAACAGTGGGGAGGGCGTTTGCCTTGCCCGTGGCCAATGGGGTTCCTTCCCCGGCATCCCATAGGATTCCCTGAGCCCTGCCAGGCTGATCCCTGAGCTGGTAGCCACTAAGTAAGCCCTGAGCACCCCCGGGGTGCGCCCCCCTCAAGAAAAGATGGAGTGCTGAGGATAGGAAAAGGGTCAGCTGACCTCTGGGGTCAGCGGTCCGGGGGTGTCTCCTGGTGGAGGGCTATTGGTGTAGAATGCAGGGGGCAGATCCCCAGAACGGGAAGCCCTGCCCTGTGCACCCCAAGATAAGGTCTGCCTGGGGCCTGTCACCCTCCACCTCTCAGCCCTGGGCCCTGAGATTAGCCCCAGGCTGCCGGGTCTGGGCTCTTGGTGTCCTTGAGTTCTGGGGCCTGGCCGGAGGCAAGAACTTTTCTGGAAGCAGGAAGTCGGCTATCTCCTGGCCTTGGGAGGGTTGGAGGGGGGGAACGCCATGGAGAGCACCCATCCCCGGAGGGGGCCCCCGGGCAGAGCTGGGGGGCACACAGCCTGCCTACAGCAGCCCTGAGCCTCAGAGACTGTTCTCTGTTGAGGGGCAGTGCTGGGGGGAGACTCCTGACAGCAACCTGGCCTCTTCTGCATCTCCCGGACCCTCACGTGCTTTGTTCCTAAAGGTAGGGCAGGAGGGGCTGCGGGTGAGAAGTCGGGGGTTCTTTGGGGTGTTCTGGGGAGCGCCCATTTCCTCCAGGCAGATAGGGGCATGTACAAGGGCCCTGATGAGGTGGGGATTTGGGGGTTCCTTCAGGACCACAGCAAGAACGTGAGCGGTGGTCCAGCAGGGAGCTCCCTTGCCTTGCATGCAGTCAATCTGGGTTCGATCCCCAGTACCCCATAGGGTCCCCTGAACCCACCAGGGGTGATCCTTGAGCACAGAGCCAGAAATCAGCCCTGAGCACTGCCTGCTAGGGGCTCCCTACCTCCCTGTGACTGTGACTGTCACCGTCCTCCTCTTGTTCATTGATTTGCTCCAGTAGGCCCAGTAACGTCTCCGTTTTTTAAAATTTATTTAATTAAATTAATTAATTAATTAATTTATTTTTCTTTATTTGCTTTTTGGGTCACATTCAACCAATGCCCAGGGGTTACTCCTGGCTCTGCACTCAGGAATCACCCCTGACGATGCTCAGGGGACTATTGGGATGCTGGGAATCGAATCTGGGTCGGCCGTGTGCAAGGCAAACACCCTACCCACTGTGCTATCAACTCCAGCCCCAGGATTTTTTTTTTTTGTGGGGGGTGTTTGATCACACTGGGTGATGCTCAGGGCTTCCTCCTGGTGCTGTGCTCAGGAATTATTCCTGGCGGTCCTCGGGGGAGCCTATGAGATGCTGGGGAATGAACCTGGGTGGACCACATGCAAAGCAAATACCCTCCCTGCTGTACTATCGCTCTGACCCGGATTTTTAGTTGCTATCTCGCACGGACCACAGGGAGACCATACAGGGAGGGTGCTTGTGTCACATGTGGCCAGCACTTCATAGGGTCCCCAGAGCCCAGCAGGATGATCCCTGAGCACAGAGCCCGGAGTCAGCCCTGCTCACCGCTGAGTATGATCTCACACTCCCAATTTCCCTCCCCCCACCACCCCCCTGTGGGATTGAAGACAAACAACAGTGTGCCCTTTCCTCATCTGGGGGCTGGGAAGACTGTGAGGAAAGGGTGTGCAGGTGGCCCCTCGTGGTGTCTGAGTGTCTGATCAGGTGACTGGAGTCACTTGATCCAACAAGTGCCTACTTCTCCTCCCACTCCTGGATCTCTGGGTGACGGGACAGATACTATTTTTTCTTCTCATGTCTTTGAGGTTCCCCTTGGCTCCCAGAGAGGACCCTTAGAGCCAGAGACAAACACTCACCCCTGGGAATTGGCACAGGTCAGGGAGCTTCCTTGAGGAAGCAGCAGTTCTCTGGAGGAAGAGGAAGGGGCATTGGCTCTGGGGTTTGGAAGGGTGAATAGGAGTGTGTCTGTGGTACTGGACATTCCAGAGTTCTGAAGCAGCGACTGGGTCTGGAAGCTTTTGTTTTTTTGCTTTCTGGGTCACACCCAGCGATGCACAGGGGTTACTCCTGGCTCATGCACTTGGGAATTTCTCCTGGCGGTGCTCGGGGGACCCTATGGGATGCTGGGGATCGAACCCAGTTCGGCCGAGTGTAAGGCAAATCCCCTACCCGCTGTGCTATCCCTCCAACCCAAAAGCTTGTTTGTTTGTTTTGGGGTCACACCCAGCCGGGGTCAGGGGTCACTCCTGGCTCTGCCCTCAGGCATTACTCCTGGCGGTGCTCAGGGGACCATATGGGCTGCCAGGGATCGTCCCGGCAAATGCCCTCCCTGCTTCCAGACCCGGGAAGTTTCTTAGCAGTTGTAGCTCTGGATCTCCTGCGTCCACGTAATTCTTCACGCGAGGCCCATGTTTTTCTCATTTCCCTTTTCTGGGAACCGAGGCCCAGAGAGGCGAAAATCCGTCTTGACCCAGGGCCCCAGCGGGGAAGGCCCAGCCTGAGCAGTGGTTGACCAGCCCCGAGCAAAAGGCTACCCACAGTCTGGCCAGGGCCCCACATTCTTCTGACCAGAGTCTATAGGTCAGTCTGGCCCTTGGTGGTAGCCCCACGGGGTCCCCCAGCTGGCCAGGAGGACTCCCGCCCGGTCCTGACCCGGGATGCTAGAGAACCGGCCCGGGCTGGTTTTATTTCCCAATCCCAGGGAGAGGCGCGGGCCTGGGGCTGAGGTCACTATTGGAGCTGGGCAGGAGGAAGTCCAGGGCTGGACACGGACACCACGTGCCAGGCTCCGCGAGACTGGAGTGGGCGGGCTCCAGATGGGATCCGTCACTGCGTCTGCGCCATTCTGAGAACAAATGTCAGAGCGTGGGTGTGGGGCTACCCCCAGGAGAGCTCAGGGCTGACTCAGGACTCTGCGCTCAGGGGACCCTGTCAGGTGCCGGGGATTGAACCCAGCCTGCCGCATGGCAGGCCAGAGCCCTCCTCACCCTGGCTTGTAGCATGATCATTTTTTTATTCTTTTTTTTTTTTCTTTTTGGGTCACACCCAGTGATGCTCAGGGGTTACTCCTGGCTCTGCACTCAGGAATTACTCCTGGCGGTGCTCAGGGGACCCTATGGGATGCTGAGAATCGAACCCGGGTCGGCTGCGTGCAAGGCAAACGCCCTACCTGCCATGCTATCGCTCCAGCTCCCCTTTTTTTTTAATTCATATTTTAATTTTTTATTGGGGCTACACCTAGTGATACTCAGGGATTGCTCCTGACTCTGCTCAGGAATCACTCCTGGCAGTGCTCAGGGAACCCTGTGGGATGCTGGGAACTGAACCCAGGTCGGCTGTGTGCAAGGCAGAGCCCTCCCTGCTGAACTGTAACAACTCCGGCCCCAGGCTCACTCTTATTAAAAACAATGTGTTGGCATCTGGGTGGGTGCCAGGGACCGAGAGGTGACTTGAGATACTGTCCTTTGGCCCCCCTCAGCTCCAGCCTGTTAGGGGATAGGTAGGCAGGCAGGACTCAGCAGACTGACCAAAGAGTTCCTGGTTCACTTGGCAGAACAGTAGTAGAGAAAGTCCAGTTCAGGGGCCTGGGAGGGGTGGCTGTTAGCTGGGCTAGTCCTGGAGGGCTCCTTGGAGTCGGCGGCATGTCACCTGATTTTTATTCAGGGACCGCTTCCAGTGGTGCTCAGTGCCTACTCCTAGCCCAGTGCTCAGGGGTCCCCTCCAGGGATGCTGTGGGATCGAACCTGGGACAGCCACATGCAGAGCCAGCCCTGGACCTCAAAGCCTTCCCCCTGGAAGGGGGAAGATGGTCCAGGTGAGGGTCTAGCCCGAGCATGAGCCTGGGGCTGACTAAGACTTGGTGAAGGGACAGGAGTGAGGATTCCTGCGGGGCAGCGCAGGAGGGAGCCGGCCTTGGGGTGCCCAGCGAGAGGCCCCCTCTGAGCTATGGTGTGGGGACAGGGCCCCAGGAATGTCGAGTCCAGCTGGGTCCTGACTCCACATGGGAGGGGAGCAGAGTGAGAATGACCCCCCCATCCTGGTCAGGCAGGGGCCCCTGGGGGCCCGTCTGTGCTGAACATATCTCCTGGAACCCCACCACTCTGAGACAGTCTTCTTGACCCCGGGGCACTGCAGCAAGAGCCAACTGGGCACGCTGGGCCTTGGTTTGGGGCCACACACTGCGGTGCTCAGGAATTACTCCTGATTCTGTGCTCAGGGTTCACTCCTAGTGGACTTGGGACCTTATGGGATGCCAGGGATCAAACCTGGCTTGACTGCATGCAAGGCGAGCACCCCCACTTCCCACTGGGCCTATTTTTTTTCTTTTTGGGTCACATCTAGTGATGCACAGGGGTTACTCCTGGGTCATGCACTCAGGAGTGACTCCTGGCAGTGCTCAGGGGACCATATAGGATATATAGAATGCTGGGAATCGAACCCGGATCGACCACATGCAAAGCAAAGGCCCTACCTCCTGTACTATCGCTCCAGCCCCCAGGAAGGACTTTTTTTTTCAGACATTTGACTATTTTATTTATTTATTTATTTATTTGTTTTTTGGGTCACACCCGGCGATGCACAGTAATTCCCACTTAGGAATTACTCCTGGCCATGCTCGGGGAACCCTATGGAATGCTGGGAATCGAACCCGGGTTGGCCGCGTGCAAGGCAAACGCCGTACCCGCTGTGCTATCGCTTCAGCCTCACTTGGGCCTATTCTTGTCCCTCCTCAGCTCTGGGCTTGACCTTGGCGAGGGGCCTTTGGGCCACTCAGCCGATCCTGTGCCTCAGTTTCCCCATCAAACCAGAAGTTTGTAGCTCAGATGGGTGGGTAGAGGCCTGGTCTGTCTTTCGTAGCCTGGGACAACCACCACCCATCCACCTCTCTGCCTCAGTTTCTCTGCTTGGCCCAGGGGCCTGAGGGCCAGGGAGGGCCGGAACTGTTGACCCCCTCCACCCCCAGATTGTGATGCGTGGGTCCCCGCCCTGCCCCAGGCCTGCGAGGGCTGGTCCCCTGGGCTTGGCGTGACCCCGGCCAACGGCAGGCACGGTCTGCGTCCTGCTGTCCTTCCCCTTCATCTTTAGCCCCTGCCTGGGCTGCGGGCCCGCCACGCCCGAGTGGGCCGCGCTGTTCTACTACGGCCCCTTCATCGTCATCTTCCAGTTCGGCTGGGCCGCCACGCAGATCGCACACCTCAGCCTCATTCCTGAGCTCGTCACTAGTGACCATGAGAAGGTGGAGCTGACGGCCCTCAGGTATGGGGTGGGGCTGAGAAAGGGGCGGGGCTTTCAGGAAAGGGGCGTGCCAAATGGGGAAGGGGTGGGGCTTAGAAGGGGCGGGCAGAGGTGAAAGGGTGGGGTTTGGAGGGGCGGGGCTGGAGAGGGCGTGGCTTATGGGGTCCGGGGCAGGGCTTGGAACGGGGTGGGCAGAGATGAAAGGGGTGGGGTTGGAGGGGCGGGGCCTATGGGGAAGGGGTGGGGCTTAGTTGGGGCTGGCAGAGATTAAAGGGGTGGGATTTGGAGGGGTGGGGCCTATGGGGAAGGGGTGGGGCTTAGAATGGGGTTGGCAGAGATGAAAGGGGTGGGGTTTGGAGGGGCGGGGCCTATGGGGAAGGGATGGGGCTTGGAACGGGGCGGGCAGAGATGAAAGGGGTGGGGTTGGAGGGGCGGGGCCTATGGGGAAGGGGCAGGGCTTAGAACCGGGCAGGCAGAGATGAAAGGGGTAGGGTTTCGAAAGGGCGGGAGTGGGCAGGGGAAAGGGGTGGGGCTTAGGAAGGGGCTGGGTGAGGAGGGCGGGGTTGAGAAAGACAGGGGTGGGGGGCCAACAGTTGTAATTCCTGGGTGCAGAGCCAGAAGCACCAATGGGTGTGCTCCCCCCTGCAAAGAAAACCAAAAAACTGAACAGGAGGAGGGAGGTACAGGAAGGAACACTCAGGAGGAGGGGGGGTGCAGAGAAGGACTGTGCCTTAACTCAGAAGCTCACCCTCCTCGCCCGCCATCCTGGCCTCCCCCACACCTGGTTCAGTTCCCCATTCCGGGGAAATAGGCATAAACCGCAGGCAGCTGTTGCCCAATGCCCAAAGGCGCCCTGGGGTGGAGGGGCCGGGCCGGGCTCTGCTCTGTACCCCTTCCTACTTGCACCCCTTCTACTTTGACCTCTGGGTGCGTGGGGTGTGATCACTTTCCCATTTCCAGAAAGGGAAACTGAGTCAGGGGAGGTTCAGTGCCTCTTGCCCGCAGCCAAAGACCCTGATGGGGGGAGGATGGGGTGCGCTGCAGAGGCATCCCCATGGCTGAGCGCTGCTGGCCTTTTTGTACCCCGGCATTAGCTTTGGGGGTGCGTGTCATCGCAGTCTGCAGCACGCGTGCAGGCGGTGCTCCCAGGGGCGGCGGCAGCTCAGCCTGTTAGGTGCCCCCGCCTTTTAGGTATGCCTTCACCGTGGTGGCCAATATCACCGTCTACGGGACCCAGTGGCTGCTGCTGCACTTCCAGGGCCCCGTGCCCTCTGGTGCTGCCCCCGATGCCAGTGACCAGCTGGGGCCCCAGGATGCACCTGCGTTCCGGGTGAGGCCGGCCGGGGTTCCGGGGCAGTGGGGGCGGGGGCGGGGGTTTCGGGCACTGTGCCCAGCTGTCCGCTGAGCTCCCCTCTGCGCCCTAGAACCTGTCCCTGCTGGTGGTGGGCGTGGGCGCCGTCTTCTCTCTGCTCTTCCACCTGGGGACCCGCGAGGGCCGCCGGCCGCCCCCTGACGCCGCGCCGGAGGAGCCCGGGGAGCACAGCCCGCTGCTGGCGCCCACCCAAGCCCGCCCGCTGATGCTGTGGAAACACTGGCTGCGGGAACCTGCCTTTTACCAGGTGCGGGTGGGGACCCCCATCCCGGGCCCCCAGGACTGGGGGTGGGTGGGGAGTTGGGGTCTGCATTTGGGACCTAGCCTGGCACGCGCCCTGCTGGCGGCTCGGTGACGGCGCTTGTCTCCCCTAGGTGAGTTTTCTGTACATGAACACTAGGCTGGTGGTCAACCTGTCGCAGATCTATCTGGGTCTCTACCTCACCTACACCCTCAACCTGCCCAAGGTGAGCGGGCGCGGGCCGGGGATGCGGGCCGGAGGCTGCGGCGGGTCCCCCCTGGGATGCCTGCACGCCCCCACTTGTTCTGCCCCCCACAGAAGTTCACTGCCACCATCCCACTGGTGATGTACCTCAGCGGCTTCTTCTCTTCCTTCCTCATGAAGCCTGTCAACAAGTATATTGGGAGAAATGTGAGTAGATGCGGTGCTGGTCTGGGGACCCCCTACACCCACATGCATCCAGGTCGGGAGAATCCTCCTGCCTTGGGTGCCCTGAGCTGCAGAGTTCTAGAACTATCCATAGGAAAGTGGGGAGGGGGCTGCTGAGTACTGGAGACTCGGTCCACTGGAGCGAGGGGACCAGTCAGTTTGGTGATTTCTTTGATTTGGGGCTCACCCTGGAGGGAATGTATCTGGGAGCTACCCCAGCACGTAGGCGAGGGTGGAGGGAGCTAGATTGAACTGCCCTCCTGCACCCGGAATAGGCACTGCAACTTTGGGTCTTTGACTTCATGCCAGTTTGCATTTGAAGTAAAGAGCCTGTCAATGGCCCTCTGCTACTGTGGAGCTCTAATCTTAGAACCCTGGAGGGTGCCCTGCTGGAGGCTACTACCAAGGGCCTGTCCCACCCTCCCAGGCTGGGTTGCCCCCTCCCCCAAGAGGCCCTCCCTCCCCCAAGGCCCTCTCCTCCCAGGCCCCGCCTCCAGCAAGGCCCCGCCCCTCAACAAAGTCCCGCCTCCACCACAGGCCCCCGCCTCTCCGTCTAGGCCCCGCCTCCCATCAAGACCATGCCTCCACCACAAGCCACGCCCCTCTTCCAAACCCCGCCTCAGTCAGACCCCGCCCCCACGAAGCCCCACCTCCACCACAAGCCCCGCCTCTCCATCGAGGCCACGCCTCCACCACAGTCCCCGCCCCTCTTCCCAAGCCCCGCCTTAATCACGACCCCGCCCCCACTACAAAGCCCGCCTCCACCATAAGCCCTGCCTCTCCATCTAGGCCCCACCTCCTGCGAAGGCCACGCCTCCATCGCAAGCCCCGCCCCCTCTCCCCAAGCCCTGCCCCCTGTCCAGGTCCCGCCTTCCCTCCCATACTGGACCCCCATCCTGGGGGCTCCCTGTGCTGACTTGTCCCTCCCGCAGCTGACCTACTTCATCGGGCTGCTGCTGATCCTGACCTTCGCTGCCTGGGTGGCGCTGGCCGATGTGCAGGGCGTGGCCGTGTACGCAGTGGCCGTGCTGCTGGGCTCGGGCTGCGCCACCATCCTCATCACCTCGCTGGCCATGACTGCCGACCTCATCGGCCCTCACACGGTGAGGGGTCGGGCGGGGTTGGGGGGCCCCTGGGGTCTGACGGGGCGGGGTCCGGGGGGACGGGGCTGGCCCCTGGTGCTGACACCCCTGCCCCGCCCCGCAACACCTCCCATGCAGCACAGCGGGGCCTTCGTGTACGGGGCCATGAGCTTCTCGGACAAGGTGGCCAATGGGCTGGCGGTCATGCTGATCCAGAGCCTGCAGCCGTGCGTGTGAGTGCCTCTGCCTCCCGCCCTCCCACGCGTGACCCAGGGCCCCGCGGGGGGAGACTTAGCAGGCATGGGTACACAGGGATAAACACCTGCAGGCAGAGGGTCCCCCTGTAAGACCTGCACAACTGGGGTGCCCCGTTCCGCCCAGGGCTAGAGCTGCCAGGGAAGACCAGGGTCTGGGGGGCACAACCAGCCTGGCCTGAGTACCAGGGCGACTGCAGCCCTGTGAGAATTGTACTAATGAGGGCCTGGAACCATAGCACAGCGGGTAAGGCATTTGCTTTGTAGGCGACCAACCCGGGTTTGATTCCCAGCATCCCATATTGTCCCCCGAGCACCACCAGGAGTAATTCCTGAGTGCAGAGCCAGGAGTGACCCCTGTGCATCGCTGGGTGTGACCCAAAAAGCAAAAAAAAAAAGAATTCTACTAATGAATGTGTAAGTTCAGGTCAGTGGTCAGTGGCAAGGAGTGTACTGGAGACAGCTTGGGGGCCTAAGGGGGCAGGTCATCTGTGAGGGCTTCCTGGAGAAATTGATGTTGAACAGGGACTTTTTGGAGGCAAATGGGCAGAGCCATGTATGTGTATATTGTGCATGTGTATGTGCAAGGGCCCTGGGGCAGGACTGATCTGGCATGAGGAAGAAGCAGCAGAGTAAGGGGGAGGGGAAGAAGGGAGGGGACCCGGCTGGTGGTATGACCTTCAGGGCTGTGGATGGGAAGTGGGGTTGATCCCAGGGCCCTTGTGGATGGGTGGGGACAGCTCTGGGTGGGGTCTGATAGCCCTCGGAGGGCCTGTTGGGCAGGTGCTGACCTGGCCTCACTGGCTTGCTGTCCGCAGGTCAGAGCTGCGTTGCCAGGCCTTTGCCCCCTTCTACCACTGGGCTATGGTGTCGGTGACGGGGGGCGTGGGCGCGGTGGCCACGCTGGCCCTCTGCAGCCTGCTCGTCTGGCCTGTCCGCCTGCACCGCTGTGAGTGTGGACCCTGCACCCGGCCCCGGGGGGCCCCAAGGTGGGCGGGGGGGGGGCAGGTGGGGGGGGCCCGGCGGCTCCCACACTGACCTCACCTTCTCCCACAGGGGATGCTGCTGCCCAGTCCTGACCCCGCGGACACCCACCCTGCCTGGCGCCCTGGGGTGCCCCACTACCAGCCCCGTGCACCCCCAGATCGCTGGCTGACTTGGGGGGTGACCTCATCTCTGGCCTGTGGCACAAGGAGTCGGGGCCCCGGTCACTGAGCTGTAGGACTTTGGGGGGGCACTCGGGGGCATGAATGAACGACTGAGGGGTCAGGGCCCGGGCGGGCGCCTTTATCAGTGGGTGGGTGTGTAGGCGGGGGGCGCCCGCTGCCCGGTGGATGCGCAGTAGGGGTGCAGGTTCCAGTGCCGGTAGTCCTGGACGGTGTAGGGTGGCCGCTGGGGCGCCGAGAGCTGGGGCACGTGCCCGACCGGTCGCTGTTCCACCCCGTGACGGTTCCTGTCGACCACTGCAGGGCAGGTGTGGGGGGGGACGAAGGGTGTCATGTCAGCTCGGCCCGACACCCCCCTGCCTGGTGCAAGCACCCCCGGCCTTGCCTCCCGCCCCCTCACCAAACTCTTTTTGTTTTTTGCCTTTTGGGTCACACCCGGCGATGCTCAGGGGTTATTCCTGGCTCTGCACTCAGGAATCACTCCTGGCTGTGCTCGGGGGACCACAAGGGATGCTGGGAATCGAACCCGGGTCGGCCGCGTGCAAGGCAAACGCCCTGCCCGCTGTGCTCTGGCTCCAGCCACGCCCCTCACCGAACTCCTTGCCGCGCAGGGGCCGGTCCCTCCAGAGCACGCTCCTCCACTGCGTGTTGGGGTCCCTGTACTTGGACGGCAGCACCGGGTCGTACCAGGCCGTCTCGCGCAGGCGCTGGGTGTAGGCTGTGGGGGGGCCAAGCACGGTGTCCAGCCGGGCGGCGGCGGTGGCTCCCGGGGCGGGGCGGGGCGGGCCACGGGCACTCACCGGCCGGCATGTCCTGCTCCTGGTGGTGGTGGCAGCCGTGCCAGTAGCTGTAGGCCTGGCGGTAGATCTGGTGCAGGCAGCGCGGGAAGGTGAACCAGGCCTCGCGGGCGTCCGTGTTGGTCAGGCCCGTGTACCAGGCCTGGGGCGCCGCGTCTCTGCCCATGGGCGTGAACTTCCAGCGCGTGGCCTGGCAGATCGCGGGCATCCAACGGGGCCCCTCCACCGACAGGTAATCATCGCTGCAGGCGGGTGCGGGCTCAGCTCAGCCCCTCGGACTGCTGGGACTGCAGTGCTGGCCCCCATGGGGCTCCCCTGTTTTTTTTGTTTTGTTTTATTTTGTTTTTTGGGTCACACCTGGTGATGCTCGGGGGTTACTCCTGGCTCTTCGCTCAGGAATTACTCCTGGCGGTGTTCGGGGGACCCTATGGGATGCTGGGAATCGAACCCAGGTTAGCCGTGTGCAAGGCAACCACTCTACCAGCTGTGTTATCACTCCAGCCCCGTCCCTGTTTTCGGTTTTGTTTTGGGGACCACACCCGGCAGTGCTCAGGGCTGACTCCTGACTCTGCGCTCTGGAAGCACTTCCGGTGGGGCTCAGGGGGCCCTCGGGAGTGCCGGGGATCGAACCTGGCTTGGCTGCGTGCCAGACCGCATCCTGCCCACTGTCCTGCTGCTCGGGCCCCACAGAGCCCCCTTGGGACGTGGGGGTGCGGTCACCGTCTACCTTTCCGCAGCCTGACCTCACACCCCCGGGGCAGGGAACGGGGTCACCCGGGCGGCCCCCCAGGACCGACCTCCACCGGAGGTGTAGACTGAGTGCCCAGAACCGCAGGCGGGGGCCCAGGCTGAGCATGTGGGGGGCAGCGGGGGGCCCACAGGCCAGAGGGCTGACGTCAGGCCTGCGGTTCCCGCAGGATGACTGGGTGGGTGGTAGAGGCTGCCTGGAGACCAGCAGAAACCTTCCAGAATGCCTGGGCTCAGAGCTGCTCCCCGTGGGGGGGAGGGGGCGACCCAAGTCCCCTGGACGTGTGCCCCACCCCTCCTCTGGCCGCAGGAACCCAGCCCTGGCGGGAATTCCGCCTGGGGAGTGCCAGGCGCCCCCTGAAACCCACCTTCCTGTCCTTTGTGGAAATAAAGGAGCCAGCCAAGCTGGCGACTACGGACCCCCTAGTTTCTGCTCTGTGGGGTGGGCATCCCGGAGGGGCCCCTTGGAGAGGGCCTAGGGGGTTAGGCCCGGGAGTGGGGGCATGTGCTGGGACGGTGAGGGGGGCGGCCTGCAGAGGGGACAGCCCGGCCCCGGGGAGCGAGTGACCAGCAGCACACGGGGTGCCCTGAGCTGTGCCGGGTGTGTGTGCCCCATGTCGGGGGTGTGTGGGCGCTGTGTGTCAGGTGCGAGAGTGTGGCGCGGCGGGTGTGTTTGTGTGTGCCGGATGTTGGGGGTGTGTGGTAGATGTGTCTGTACGTATATTGTGTGTGCTGTATGCTGTCGTATGTGTGTGTGTGTGTGTGTGTGTGAGTGTGTGTGTGTGCGCCATGTCGGGTATGTGCTGAGTCGGATGTGTTGTGCATTGTGTGCTGTGTTGATGTGTGTGGTTCCCCCTCCTAGCCCTGCCTGTGGCCCTGCCACCTGGGGGGTCACCCCCATCCTCAGAAGCACCCCCCAGCAGCAGCCTGACCTGGGCCTCACCTATTCAGGGGGGGCGGGGTGTCCACCTCCAGGGTGCCCAGGGGCACGAAGGGCCGGGCAGCCTTCCTGGGGCGCTGCATGGCGGCCTCTGGGTGCCCTGGGCGGGGGGGGGGGGGAGCCAGTGGCCTGGCCATTGTTGACAGCGACAAAGGCCCCAGTGTCCCGGCAACAGGGACTCGGCCAGGGCCCCAGGCTTCCCTCCCTCCTGGCCAGTGAGGGACAGAAACACAGCCCCCCATCTCCTTGGGCCCCCCCAGATTCATTCAGATTCGCAGCAGCCAGAGAGGGTGCTCAGGGCCCCCAGGGGGCCCCCCAAACTGTGGTGCCATCCTGGGCCCTGTGAAAACTAGACCAGAGGAGACCCCCAGACAGGAAGTGCCAGGTGCACCCCATTTTCCCCACACACACCCGCCCGTCTCGTGCTCGTTCCACTCTGCAGAAGCCCGGCTCTCTTCTGAACGCGCTCTCTCTCTCTCTCCTCACATCTTTTAAAATTTTGTTCAATAAAAACTATTTTGTGTCAAGTAACAAGAAGCAAAACAGTGGGGCTGGAGCCATAGTATGGCGGGGAGGGCGTTAGCCCACCCGGGTTCGATGCCCGGCATCCCAGAGGGCTCCCCGGCACACCAGGAGTGACTCCTGAGTGCAGAGCCAGCCATAAACCCGGAGATGCGTTGGGTGTGACCCCCAAAGCCAGACAATGAAAAGCGAAGCGGCAAGAGTGGGCATGGGCAGAGCCGAGCCGGGGCGCCGGGAGCGGTCACAGGGTCTCGATCCACCAGGGCCCTCGCACAATGGAGTGACCAGCCAGGTGGGTCTGCTCAGGCGGGGATGACTGGGGGGTCCCCACAGTCCCCACCCACAGCAGGCCTGTCTCGCCCTCGGGCCTCAGCATCCCCCGCGTTCAGAGAAGGGGTGGGGGGAAGGCCGGCCCGGACACCCCCAGGCCCCACATGGCACCTGCAGCTTTACGCTTTACTCTGGCCCTTGATTTTTTTTGTTTTTTTGCTCTTTGGGTCACACCCGGCGATGCTCAGGGGTCACTCCTGGCTCTGCACTCGGAATTACTCCTGGCACTGCTCGGGGGACCCTATGGGTTGCTGGGAATCGAACCCAGGTCGGCCGCATGCATGGCAAACGCCCTCCCCGCTGTGCTATCGCTCCAGCCCCCTTCACTGTCCCTTTATCAGACCCACCCATGGAATGGGGCCCTGGACACGCTCACTTGGGCCTTGGAACCCCAGGGGCACCCGCCACCCCCATCCGGGCCCACCCCGGTACGCAGGGCCTCCGCAAACGGGGGGCACGTGAGCCCTGCTGCCGCTCCCCCCGCCAAGGACCAGACACAGGAGCGTCCCACAACAGATTTTAATGGAGGGACGTGAGTCGGCCGGAACGGGCGGGGGGTGGGCAGGGGGCATCCCCTTCCCCTTTGGGAGCGGGGTCGCAGCCGCCTCCCCCAAACAAGAGACTCAAACAAAGGACAGGACGGCGGTGCTGAGGGCCCAGGGCCTGGGCACACGGGCCCCTGCGGTCGCCCGGAGGACAGGGACTCGGGCTCACAGATACGAATATACACATGCACCCACCCGTGAAGGGGCGGGGCCGTGCCGCTGGCGACAGGGCAGAGGGTCGGGAACCCGCCCCCCAGAACTCTGGGGGCCTCAGCATGGATCCCAAGCATCGCAGCAGCTTTCGCCAGCTCCTTGGCGTGCTTGGGCCAGGCCAGGTTGCAGACGTGGGAGCCAGTGCCAAGGCACTGCAGTAACTGCCCCGGCAGAATCAGCGTGTTCCAGAAGTGGATGCAACAGTCTGCAGTGCCATTGCCCGATGCCAGCAGCCTGTACTTATCACTGAAGCAAAGAAAGCTCTGTAGCACTGTAGCGCTGTCCTCCCATTGTTCATGGATTTGCTAGAGCGGGCACCAGTAACATCTCCATTGTGAGACTTGTTACTGTTACTGTTTTTGGCATATTGATTATGCCACGGGGAGCTAGCCAGGCTCTGCCGTGCAGGCGGGATACTCGAGGTAGCTTGCCAGGCTCCTTTGAGAGGGAAGGAGGAATTGAACCCGGGTTGGCCGCGTGCAAGGCAAATGCCCTACCCGCTGTGCTACCCAAGTGTTTTTCTTGGGGGGTGGGGGTCACACCCGGCGATGCACAGAAATTACTCCTGGCTCTGCACTCAGGAATTACTCCTGGCGGTGCTCAGCGGACCATATGGGATGCCGGAGATGGAACCTGGGTTGGCCGCGTGCAAGGCAAACGCCCTACCCCTGTGCTATTGCTCCAGCCCCTGATTTTTTTTTCTTTTTGGGTCACACCCGGCAGTGCACAAGGGTTACTCCTGGCTCTGCATTCAGGAATTACTCCTGGTGGTGCTCGGGAGGCCCTAAGGGATGCTGGGAATCGAACCTGGGTCGGGCCGCGTGCAAGGCAAACGCACTACTCGCTGTGATATCACTCCAGCCCCGCTCCACCCAAGTCTTAAACTTAAACT